CAATAAGCTATCTATTCGACGCGTTCCAGCCCCGATAACCAAAAGAAGAAGTCCAAGCTTGAAATGGGGAAGTATATTCCACAAAACCCAGAAACAAGCGATAACAACAAACACAAATCAAAACCTATATATACAACACAAAAACCGTCCTTGGGGAGAGTTACAAAATAGCCTTCTAAAAGATACAATGGACCAATGGCATTTAAGATCCTCCTAAGTGGGACATCCGACATGAAGGTGAAAAGAGTGCTTTTGGCACGAAAACAAAGAAATTCAAATGTTCCAAACAAAATCACTAAATTAGGTCATTTTCGAAGTGAGTTCTGGGGATCTTACGTCCACAACACAAATAAAGACAAGGTACTGACTAATTCCTATTTTCTAATTATTCTCAAGCAATAAAGTTTCAATATTTAATCTCCAAGTTTTTTTTTTCATTTTCTCTAATAAATAAATAATCGAACAGTTCATATTGTATTGATTAATAAAAATAAATTCTTGGAATTTCAATAGTAATAAGTAATTTATTAAACCAATCAAGTTAAAATTGTCAATCAACTAATAATCAGATTGAAATAATGATGAAATAATTATTGAAACATTTCAAGATAACTAAAATTATAAACGAAATGTTGTTAATAAACGAACATTATTCTCTTTATTACTATTATTATTATTATTATTATTATTATTATTATTATTTATGTAAATGAATAAATGATAAAGGAAGTTGTTGATAATGCTACTTCATCATCATCATCATCATATAGAGTTAATTAAGCATGAATGATCATTTGTCATCTAATATTTTTCTAGTTAAGTTTTTTTTAGAAGAAAGAATTATCATATCTGAGTGGAATTTCTTAATATTAACTATCATAAATGAAGTGATGTTATTATCTTCTTCTTGTTTCTTTTTCTTTCTTATTTTTCTTGTATACAAATAGAAGACTTTAAATATTACATTATATTTATTGTTGTTAATATTTATTCTTACAAGAGATAAATAAACGCTTAAGTGAACTCATTTTACAGTTGATTAAATTCTGCCGCTATTATTCCATATAAGTATATATATATATATATATATATATGATATTTCGAACAAATCTCTAACACTAGTTAAGTATTGGGATAATTTCTGTTTATTAAAGAAAACAACATTTACTTTTTAAGAATAGAATAATAAATAAAACAAAGATTAAATGATGATAATGTAAATAACACATAGTAGCATTATATTATATATTAACTTAACAATTAAAATGATACATTTTAAGATTGATACTTAATAAATATTTTGTTTATTTTAAAAATTCTACATACCAAGTTTCTAAGTACTCTAAAGTATACTAAAATCGATAATGAACATTAGTCTATTTTAGATTGTGTTAATTGATTAGTTTTGATTTATGTTATTAAATATCTTTGAGTTTACAGTATGTTAAATTAATGTTATTTCTAAGTTTCATGTTATATTTACATGTTATTTTAAAGGTTGACTCAGTTTCTAGAAACTGATTAGAGAGTACAGTATTAAGTAATGTAAATAATAAAGGAATATTCATAATCTAACTGATGTTGTAGTGAATAAGAACACTAGTGGGGACAATCGAATGTATTTGACACAAAAATTCAGAGCATCTGAATAAAATCTGAGAACCATATAGTAAATCGTTAATTTGCATAATATCAATCCATCATCTCAAACTTGACTGTTCCTGTTGCAAACATCAATCCATTGTCTCAGATTTCATTGTTCATGCGTTTTCATACCGATCGCGTTCCGTTCCCGTTCTTTTCTTACCGATCTTCTATTGAAAAACATTAAATGCTTGACCACCGTTATGTACTACTTGTATGGATATAACTAACCCACACCATAATCTGAACTAGTAATGATCATTTTGCTTAATCAGTAGTGCCGTTTCAGATCTTGTGAGATCAATATCAGTATGACGTTGTGTTGATTGTTGAATTTCATTAAGATCATAAACTGGTTTAAGTAAAAAAAACATTGAAAACAAGGAAGCACTGGAAAGTTGTTTAGTTCTAGTAATGAACTACATGTTGTCGGACAGGTATAAATTTAAACGAAAAGATAGGCGCAGAGTTAGATGATGTATAAACACACTAACAGTCAGCCTTAATTAAGTCTCGTAATCCTTTCAGTTATTCAACATGTTCCATGAACAGATGGAGATAAATTATCCAAAAGATGAATTAACGATTGTTTCCATTTCGGTACAATTAAAAACTGATTACAAGTACAAGTCGAAACATTTTTGTAGAAACTTGTATCAGGTATATTGTGTATAATCTATATTAGAGTACTTTCCACTCACTATATAACACTTACAACATAATATTCAGACTATTAAAGAAATACTGTTTTCTTAAAATATATATGCATACTATTACTCAGACAGTAACTTGAAAACAAAGACGACAAGACATGAGTAGTTAAAAAAAAGTTATTGGTGTTTTGATCAAATTAATGCTTTCCGATTTCCAAAAAACTTTCAAGAAATCTCGATAATTATCACAATGTGGGTTTGTGGATATTGTAATAATTTCTAATAGTTGAATTCATGAGTTCAATAAAACAAGACCACTATGAAAAACCTGGAAGTACTGAACGGCTATTTCGTCCTAGATCGAAGGTCCTGGGATCGAGTCCCGCGAGGCGGTATTGTAGATACACACTACTGAAGAGTACTATACTAGGACGGAATGGCCATTCAGAACTTCCAGATTTTCCATGATGGTCTAGTTTTAATCAACTCATCAATTCAAATATTCAAAATCTCGATAAACCATGAAAAATAATTTTTTTTGGGATATATTATTTCGCATGTTATTCTTTTATCTATATTCATGTATACATATGTATAGTGCTATTATTGTCTACTTTTTATCATAATGAAACATGAACAAACTTGTAAACAGCAATGTTTCATATTGTCACACGTGTATAAAGACATGTTCATACATTTACATACATATTGCTTATAAGTGTTGTTTTATTCTTTTAAGTAATATAGACAAACTTTTAAAATTATTTATTTATTCATTATAAGTAAGATATGAAAAGATACAATGAATAAATGTTTAATGCTTCTGTTTTGTTGTAAAAACATTGTAGACATACATTATGAAAAGAGTGAAAAAGAAGTTAAACATAATAGAAGTGAAAGAGAACTAAGAATAAATGTAAAATAGAATGAGTTACATACATGATAGAATAAAACAGGAAATATTAAAGTAGAAACAAAAAAAATTGAAATTTGAATTAATTTCTCTTTTGATTTTTCTAATAGATTAAAAGTGAACAAAAAATAAATTACTGGTAATATAACAAAGAAAAAAAGAAGAATTGGTATCTATTACATAATATTGTTTGTAAAATATGCGATCACACTTTGATAAGCTTCATTCTAGTAGACAATATACTCATATTTAATAAAGAAATTAGTTGTCATATATAGGATTAATTCAATAAATAATACTCATCAAGTGGATACGTTACGTAATAATTATATAATGACACATTGATTATAAACATACATTGAGTAATTGGAAGAGGATTAATAATAATAATCAAATTAATTATTCGAAAATCAAAAGGTTGCTACGTTGCATAATATGTAAAAAGAGAAGAAGGGACTAACAAAATATTATGATGAATGGTTAGTAGTATAGTAGTTACATAAGAATCAAAAGACGAATGTTGAGAATAAGTAAAATACAAAACAGTGGAAAAAATATGAAAATATTTTATCAATGTTCTGTTACAAACTCTTGTATACCGATGTCAAGGTAGCGAAAGTTGTTGCACAAACTTCTTTTGAATGCAAAAGTTAAGTTTGTAAGCATGGATTGCAATGGCTTTGCGTGCTCGCGCGCGAAACCAGTAGGTCCTGGGTTCGAATCTCGCAGGGGGCGAGGTCGTGGATGCGCACTGCCGAGGAGTCCCACAATAGGACGAAACGGCCGTCCAGTGCTTCCAGGTTTTCCATGGTGGTCTAGTTTCAACTGACTCATGATCTTAATGATTGAATTCACTACAATCTCCACAAAACCCTTTCTCATTAATGTTTAGGACTGCAATTGATCAGCCTCTTATTGGTATATGTGCATACTGTGTGTATTGCCTCGATATAGCCTTATTTCACAAGCATTATATACAAAGATTAATAGTGGCTAGCAGTGAAATCCAAGACTCGCGTTTCGTCCTATTTGGGACTCATCAACTAGATATGCCTGCACCCCATTGCACATCCAAGTGGTTATCAGGACTCAGTAGACAAGTGGATAAGGCGATGGCGTTCGAAGTGAACGGTACTGTGTTTGAGTCCCAGAGTGAACATCAAATCTGAGATTTAGGTATATCCGGCTGACCAGTCGCAAATAGGACGAAACACGCGTCCTGGATTCCACTGCTAGCCACTATCCATATTTGCTTATCTACAAATTAGGTTTCAATTATCTTTGTAGTTTTAATACCTCTTCAAAAGCTAATTTTTTCATTCTTACAATTCTTAACACCAACTTCAGTTTACTGTTTACAGTCATTTTGAAGATCATATTCAGATTAACTTTAAAGACTCTATTCATGAAAAATACAAGTTATCAAGTTCTACAAACATAAAACATCAACACCAAGTTATAGGTTTTTATTCGGTTATGAAATCCAAAGATTTTATTATCAGGTTACTAATGGTGTTTATATAAATCTACCCATTGAAATTCTGTTAGTCTCAATATCGATTAAATATTACATATATTTATAGAATAATGAGACAAACTGTACATATAAAGAAATTTTATGTCTAATTAAAGAATATATACGTCAATTAGAAATCAGCTTTCATACTATACTTGATTACTCTTCCTGTAAGATTGGAAATATTTGAGATGAAATAAATTATTGTATATAGGACATACATATATATATATATATATATATATATATATATATATATATCCGTATTACATCAACACATGTATTTGAATAACATCTTTTCAATTTGAAGTTGTATCGGCTTGTTAAATCCATGATGGATCACATTTAAATTTACCACTTTTTCTGACTAAACAGTAGAATCATTGTGTTCACTTTCGAAGTCTTTGCTTACTACTTTAATGAATCATCACTAAAGGATAAAAAAAGTAGTAACAATGAATTATTGATAGATGAGAAAACTATAATACTTTATTTGAATAATAAGAAATGACTCAATGTAGTTTAACTTTAGTGTTGAAGATGCAACAAAGCAGTTATTCATGATACAATTAATCATTGACAAGTTTAGTTCTGTATATTCATAGTAGTCAACCTCTACTCTGAATAAATATGAAATGATAGGTCCTAATGAAGCTTATTGACTTTTCTTCTTGGCAAAAAAACCATTTATGTCTTAATAATCCTACTATTTCATCAATTCTAATGAAGTATCAAAAAATGAAGGTTTACTGCTCAAAACGTGCCTGTTTTGTTGTTATTACATAATCCAACAGTCAACTTACTTGGTATAACAACCATGTGAAGAAAAGTTATTAAACACTGATACTTTCGCTTCACTAACGACTGATTGCTTTACATGGGGAAGTTCATTTGACATATATTGTAACCACCAATAATAATAATTTAATGCGGTTAGCATTCTAGACATGTCTGTATTCCGATTGGTTTTAGTTGCTTCATTATTGTCACAATTATCTTCAACAACATCCTCTTCATCAGCGCCATCATTGTCATCATGATCAGGATCATCAACATCATCACAGTTATCATGATTTTTTTTCAGTATTGTTTCTTTCCTTTTGAAATCAATTAAACGACGTTTTAAAGTGTCAGTGTATTTTTTCTCTGCAATAGTTTCATTATCGTTAGATTCATGCATTGTTGAACTTTCTGAATCCTAAAAGAGATACAATCACATAGAAAATGTAAAACAGACGTTCAGAACTCACTGTAACTGAACTATATTGTTTAAGCATAGAAAAATTGTCTTTTTATAATCACATCATATGTTTATGATTATTTATTGCGTATAATTGTTTTACAACAAATCATTTGAAAAGGTTTAAAAATGAGTGAGAATAACTTTGTGATCAAAGTATATTACCAACATTTTACTAAAAAAAATACAATCTAAGCCAACTTATTACATTTTTTAAGATCTGAGAGCATTTCAAGATTTTCCATAACTATAGAGAACCAACAAAAAGTCCTAGGAGTAAGTTTATTTGTATTCATTAGTAAGGGGTATTTTCAGAAAGAATAAATCTTGTTTAGAACTCGATCAACTGAAGTGAATAATCACTGAATTATAAAAAACATTTAGCTCCTTACTTCGTAATGTTATTGCGTCACTTAACTAACTAGTTATACCGTGACTTGTTCGGTACATACCGACTAACCTTTATGGAAAATCACACAACTAAACACGACAAACTGGAGCACGACAGAACAATATTTCTCTTACATTTAGTGGTTCACTTCAGTTGATAAAAAAAAATCATTTGTAGATCGGAGTTTGATGCTCATTAGCACTCATCGCCAAAACCCGTCTTAAATCCTGAGTGAACCGATGTTCTTCATGGGATAAAAATTAGCGCCAAACAATTGGACAATCGTTCGGGACCTAATTCATCTTCAAAAGACCGAGATATTTTTAGTAACTAATAACTGAGTAATGACTAATGTCATATACTTTAGCTCCTTGGAAATAGTTGTCATCAAATAATTCTACTTTGGAAAGCTTCTGGAAGTACAAGTTAGTATAAGTAACTTGTTTTAAGTAATTTTTAGACAGCTTAAACGGTTAATCAACATGTAACCAATTAGCTATATAGTTTTTAACATTATAGATCAGTTGTATTTGTAATAATCTTGTTTTTAATTAGATCAATCAAATGAATGTTTGACTGTTCATAAAAAACATTTTTGTGTTATACACAATGATGAAAAAGGATTGGAAATTGGAAACATTAGTCATTGTAATAAGTTATGTATTACTATACCACAGATATTGAAAAATTCTAATTAAGTAGCATTGTAATCGAAATGGATATTACGCAGAAAACTCACCATATTTATTTGTTCTACTGAGAAATTCAGAATTGTTGGTTTATTCAATTTCATTTTTTTAAAATTTCCTAATGAAGTGAAAACATCAGGACACAGAGATTCATCAAATGATTCTTCATCATTGTTGTAACAATCATTTGTAGATGTTGATGGTTTAGCAGTTCGAACTGTTTCCTTGATTAAATCTTGTGAAAACAATGTTTGAACTGGTAGATTGGATTTGTCACATTTTAAAGATTCTGATGCATTCATGTTCAATAAGGAGTAGGGATGATGCTGATGCTGATCAAAATGATTATTTACCTGGGGTTTAATTTGTGAATCAAAAGCATTTAGTGTTGGTCCAGATGAATCCATTGGGTGATAAACAGATTTCCAGTGATAATTCATCCCAATGAACTGATTTAAAAAATACTGCAGTTTGGAATCAAATAACTGTTGGTACTCTATTGACACGAATAAAGAAATTTCACACATCGTTAATTTATTATCATTTAGACTGGAGTAAAACTTTCAGACATAGAAAAACACTCATCCGGTATATGTCTTATTCTATCAAATTATTCAGCTGAAGGCAACGAGATATACATCAATCAACTATGTTTTGCAGTAACTAGGTAAATTGCATATGAATTTAAAATTAATCAACACCTTGAATACGGGTGGAGCTCCCAAAATGTTCATCTGGAGTAAATCAGAAGGAACAATAATCGTACGTTTTATACAGATGGGGATATAACTTGTCCAGTAATTATGTCTCCTCATAGTTTATACTTGCAACACATAAGTAATAATTAGTGGTGAATTGAGAATCATTTCAACCCTTACTGCAGAAATATCAGTTAACTCTTTCATTGTAATAAGATTCTGATTACCTGATTTATATTCAAGTCAGGACTATTTTTATATTACCATTACCGCTGAATAGTGGATTATGGCAATATTCAAATAATCTAATTATCAGTTGGTTCAAAAAACCTAGATTTAATGTTAGTTTAAATAGTCAGGGATATAAACGACTAATTTTGACCCTAAGTACTTGTTCTTCATAGCCACTTTAGAATTTTATTGCATCTTTGAAGATAACCCGAAATTAGTACCGCAAATAATTATATTTTAATAATTGAATTCGTTAGTCGATTTAAGCTAGACCACCTTTGAAAACCTGGAAAAACTGAACGGACAGTTTGTCATAGTATGTGACTCTTTGGCAGTGCGCATCCACGATTCCGCAAGTAGGACTCGAACCCATGGCCTATCAGTCTCTCATTACTATTCACAAAGTAGTCTATAACTAATTCTGCTCTCGTTAGATTAAAATAGCCCTTCTCAAACCTAGAGATAGGACAACTTGGAGTATGAAATTTGATTTTATATTGAAGGGATGTGTATGAGATTAGTCAGTCACAAATTTAATAAGACCACTATGATATGTGGTCTAGTTAGTAAACATTCAGTCACTCTTATGTCCTAATTGAAATCAGTCTCCTCAAAGAAGCCCGACTGAAATATAATGTTATACAATATTTCCATTACTATAATCAAAATAATTATTTCATAAACAACTTAATCATATTAGAACTTATTCTGAATATCATATTAATGGGCCAGCTTGAGTTATATTTTATTGTCTCACCCTTGTATACTCTTTAACGAGAATATAAATTACACGATTAAGAGTTTTATTTGATACTTCACATTTAATATATTGAAAAACTTAACGTCATCTCTGACTAAAGCTTAGGTTGTTATTATTATTGTTACTATTACTATTATTATTATTATTATTATTATTATTATTCAAGGCAATAACTCATGAATAAAGAGAAATCATATTTCGCTTAAATAAGTATTAATTATTTCTGAAAATATAAAGAAACAATTGAACTTACTTAATGTCTGATCGGAATTTTCTATCGTTTTTGATTCTTTAAATGAATTCATTCCTTCTTCTCCTTCTTCCAAAAACGTTTCGGTGGAAAGCCGATCAGAGTGAGTCATTATATTGCTTGAAAAAATCCGTGGTAAATCAATAGATGGAAAGGTTATGTTTTCTACACCGTCAAAGATGGATTTAAACTCTGTCGATCCAGAAGGATTTTGTTCATGTTCTAATTTATTTTGGTGATTTAATAGTGCATATTTCATAAAAGACGAATAAACTGTTTCCAAGTGTTCAAAAACTTTTGCTTTCAATAGCTGAGGTAAAATCAATTCATATGAATTCATTAACGGATAAGCGGAAATATTATTTTGATAGTTGGGCCATAAAGTTTGTTCGACTTGAGACTGACTATTTCCACTGTTATCATCATCGCTTGTACAGCTGCGTGATTGTTTGGGAGTGGATTCACCTGAATCATTGTTATGACAGGTATGTGACTGACGGGATCCAAGTACAGATGACAGAACAGGTGTTTCAACTCCGGATAAACGTTTTGATGGACGCCCAGGTCTAGAACTTCAAAGTAGAAAAGCATAATCAGATATTTATATAATATTACAGAATTAAGAAAAGGAAATTATAATATTTCATCATATTTTCTTTTTGTGCGCTCCAAATAATGTAAGCAAACTATCCAGAGTTATCACAATATAAATCTGAGCAAACAGTTAGGAATCTAGCCAAAATTGATTGAATTTTAGAACACAAACCGTTAGATTTCACAATAACAAACAAAAGATACAATATAAACAATAAAATTTGAAGGTCTTGTGTTTGACTCTAGACAACTTCTCTGTATTCACACTCCTGGGGAGTTTTAAAGGAAAAAAATAACTGTCACATGCTAACTGATCTCTAGTAATTCTTAAACTGAAAATAGTTTCTGATAAATATCCTTTTTATAAAGTTAGTTTGAATAACACTTTGTATAATACAGTTCTGTTATTTTACAAGATGCCGCACATTATTATATAATAATGATAACGAAGTGTTAGTCTACACCTCATACATAAACAAATATACTGTTAAATTAACTGATAGCATAAAATTTCAGTAAAAATAAAATAAGGTAGTCTATTACTATAGTGATTTAGGTTATCTAACACAGATATGAGAGTAATGGGAGATAACATAAAAACTCTTCAGTATTTTTAAAATAAACATACATTTGAAACATACAACAAATGTAGTTTATAATAAATTCTACTAATTGACTGACAGAATCAGGTTATGAATATTATACTATCAGTATTAATCACTAATTTTCGAGTATACTACAATTAATATCATTAAGGGTTTTGTGGATATTACAGTAATTATGATAGTTGAGATCATGAGAAAATTGAAGCAACTACAATTACACTCTTCTAGATAACCTGATTACGATAATTCTATTCAATATTATTAAACTTAATATATTTCACATGAATAACTAATGGAGATGAATTACAGCAGATGATTAATTATTTATTATCGAAATATAATAATATTCGTCTAGTTGAATGTTTCATAACTTCAATTACTTTTTAATATATATTGGTAATACGTTAAGTATATGATTAATATTTCGATTGTAATTTATAAATAAATAAATAAATAATTATATATATATATATATATATATATATATATATATATATATATATATATATATATATATATATATATATATATATATATTGGAATCAATTTCAAAATACACTACAGTCTGAATAAAAGTTTATTGACAATATACAACACAAATATCTTTTTTTGAAAATTAAGGAAACGTTCTTTGTAGCTAATTGGACAACGCGATGGTGTTTGAAGCAAAAGTCACTGGGTTCGAGCCCCGGAATGAGCATTAACTCTGAGATGCAGGCACATCCAACTGACAAGTCCCAAATAGGACGAAACTTGCATTCTGGATTCCACTGCTAGACACTATCCATCTTTGCTTATAAAGCTTGTGATTTAATGGTAATATCAAGACAATTCTTATAGGGTGCACATATTTCAACAAAAGACTGATCAATTGCAGTACTAAACAACAATGGGAAGATACAAGCAAAACAATATCAAATTCTTTGTTTTAGTTAGCTATAATAGCTCATTAGGTAAATATTATGTCAGTGGGAAACTATTAATTAATCAAAAATTCTTATTTATGAGACATAAGTTGATTTCTTAATTTGTATTTCATTTGTTTCTCTTTAGATCATTTTAAGTTTCTATCATTTCACTTATTCCAACTTTTATTTTCATATTTCTCTTCAACTATGGCTATTCCATTATTGTTTTTCTTTTAATTATTAAGTTATTAAACAAATGACGATTACAACATTTCTTTCCTTCTCGTCCACTTATTTCATTTTGTTCTCGATTTCATTGTGTACAATTATAATATCAATGCATCTATTATTTACTTACTCGCTCTTTCTCGTTTTATCATTCTAATTTCCCATGGAAAAGTCAAATTCTCTAATGTCCATCTTCATATATATATATATATATATATATATATATATATGTTATTTTTCACTGATGTTCTTTTCTTCAAACTTATATAAACGTATTCAATTGAAAACAAACAAGGATACAAGGTTATAAATAGATGATAGTGTAACAACATTAATAAAATGTATAAGAATGGATACCGTTTGATATATATATATATATATATATATATATATATATATAACTTCTCTCTTTGTTATTAGTTATAACATTATTTTTTTGCCTAACAAAAACAGTTAAATCCTGTCAAAAAAAATTATATTCAAATTTCATGTCATAAAATACGTATTATTTTTGTTTTTTTATTTTTTTCCAATTTTTACTTTTGAAGATAAAATAAATAAATAAATGAAACTGTGAAATAATAAATGACAATAAATTTCAAACAAAAAAACTTCGTTAATTTTATCTATTCAACCTATCTGTTTACTTATTTGTTAACTTATAATGATTAACTAATACACATTATATATATATATATATATATATATATATATATATATATATATATATGCATAGATAGACAGATAGATACAAACGTAATGGTATGAAACAGCTGATGAAATTCTCATCCATTTTTGTAAATATTAATCTTTTATTTTTTTTTCAAATATATATTATCTATGAACTGAAAATAATTATTCATTCTATATTATTACAGATTGAATATAATGCATTTTTGAAAGAAGGAAAATAATAACAATAAATTAACGGTTTAATAAGTGATGAATAATTGAACTAGTGTAATAGTTTAATGTTTCTATCGTAATGAGTGAGATAGAGAGTATCAACTAAATGTTTCCATTGTACTGAGTGAGACAGATGGATAGATGGATAGATGGATAGATAGATAGGTAGATAGATAGGTAGATAGATAGGTAGATAGATAGGTAGATAGATAGGTAGATAGATAGGTAGATAGATAAGTAGATAGATAGGTAGATAGATAGGTAGATAGATAGGTAGATAGATAGATAGATAGATAGATAGATAGATAGATAGATAGAGAGAGAGAGAGAGAGACAGCATCAAGTTAAGTGGCAATGATTTAAATTCTATATGAAATATCAGTTCCTTGAAGTTTATAGGTACGCCTTATTGATGGATGCTAACTAGCACAAAACATAAATCCAAGACTTTCTGTCTGTTAGCTTCATTCATCTAACATTTTAACGAAGTGAACGTTTTACGTATCAATCATTGATAGAAAAATAAAAATGTTTAAAATACAGTTAATTATATCCCTCGTAAACTAGATAATACTAAACATATTAGTATGGTTATGGAGCAATTAATTTTTACCAGGGTTATTCTCAATAAATATAAGATTTAGTATGAGAACCATATAATTGGACATTTTTATAATTTAGATAGTGGTTGGAGATTGTCAAAAGGAAACGCTGGACCCGGGTTTCGAGTCACCTAGACTGGTGGTCACATTGCAACTTGGTCGATAGTATTCGATCTGCACTGAGAAGGACGTGACACACATGAAATTGATCAACACACAGTGATCAGTCAATTGTGATAGACATTTTTATAAGTTTACTAATTTATTAAGTTTTGTGTATGCAAAATTACACATAAAACGGAGTGCATAATTGTTAATTTTAATTGTTTATAAAGAAGGAACGAATTGAGCAAGGGAATTTCTTTTCAACTAGTTTTTCATCATGATTCTACACTAATATAATGAATACAATAATGAAATTATACTCATCGAGTAAATACGTTACGTCATCGTATAACAAAACACCATCCATCGTGGTTGAGAAAAGTGCAGGTAAGGGCGTTTAAGAGTTCTATTCTCGCTCACTTGATGAACACAGGTCATCAAGTTGAACTGAATAAAGCATTTAAGGTTATCTAACATGTTCCATCAAATTTGCCACATGGTTTACGACTGTGTCTTTTGCACATTGTTAAAGCCATTGCAATCCATGTTTACAAAGCTAACCTTTGCATCCAAAAGAAGTTTGTACAACAATTTTCGCCACCTTAATATTGGTGCACGGGAGTTTGTAGCAGGACTTTGACAAACTATTTTCATATTTTTTCCATTTTTTGTGATTTACTCATTCTCAACATTCATCTTTTGATTCTTATATAACTACTCTGCCACTAACCATTCATTATAATATTTTGTTAGTTCCCTCTTCTCTCTATATATATTTTACAACGTAGCAACTTTTTGATTTTCGAATAATTAATTTGATTATTATTATTAATCCTCTTCCAATTACTCGATGTAAGTTTATAATCGATGTGTCATTATATAATTATTACGTAACGTATCTACGCGACGAGTACTATTTCATTTCAGTAGTTAAGATCATGAGTCAATTAAAACTAGACCACCATGGAAAACCTGGAGGCAATGGACGTTCGTTTCGTCCTATTTGGGACCCCTAAACAGTGCGTGTCCTCAATCCCGCCCCGCAAGATTCTAATTGAGGACTTATCGGTCTCGCGCGCGAACGCTTAACCACTAAACCAGTGAGATGGCCGGCATTCAACGGTGTTAATTTCTAATTTCAACTAATCCATGAAATTGTGCGACACATCCACCATTGTGATCAATGAGTTACTATCTCACGACAGACCCGGTTTAACTCCACTAGTCACTGTTTTTGATTAGAACTCCAGGATATACCTTTTGAAGCCAGATCGTGGATGGGCACTGCTGAAGTGTTCCATACTAGGATGAAACGGTCATCCAATACTTCCACGTTTCCCATGATGGTTTAGCTTCAATTAATTCATAATTGTACAGTGACAATAAATTTCACATATGTGTATATATAAGCCACTCATTACAAATTCATGGTTAAATATATAAAAACAAAATGATCAGTTTGACAGTGATTAATTAGTTGAAAGATTTAACAATAAATTTATGTAAAGTTATGTAATAAGATAATTTAAATAAAAGAATAAATTTCATAATTTTGTTTACACTAATGTTTTATTCATTTTTGTAATAATAAATAATTTTTTCTTGAAAAAAAATAAATAAACAA